CCTGTGAGCTGTTGTGTAGGAAGGGCCCCAGTGCATTGCTTTGCCCAGGGGCCCTTAACTCTGTTAAAATGGTACTGCTTGTGTGTGTCAGTGAGCTTCTATTTAGTGAGCATGTGTGTGTCAGCGAGCTTGTCTTTAGTGAGCTTGTGTGTGTGTCCCTGAACTTCTTTGTAGTGAGCCTTCTGTTTATACAAGTGAGTGTCTGTAGTAAGCTTGTGTGTGAGTCAGAGAGTTTTGTCTGTCAGTAAGCCTATTTGCGCATGTCAGTGAGCCTGTGCACTTACTGTACTATATATATATATATTTTGACTTGTAGAAATGGCATACATTTTTTTTCCAGGGCTGCTTTGGATTCCCAGGGATTCCCAGTTTGGCTCTGCCAGCGAGTGCACTTTACCGCTGAATCATCTGTGTGAGCTGCCGCACACTTTAGCCCTGTTACACGCGTCTGGGAGCTACTGTTGACAGTGTTATGGACAGAAGAATTAAAATAAAATGGCTATTTACTAATGTCTATTTATTCTGTGTTCATGTTAAAACTGTCTGCTAGAGTAAATATTCCCTTCCCCCCTACAATGTGTTCAGTCACTATTTTCTCTGCCTAATTCCTCCCATCCTGCTAGCCTCCCCCCTTCCCATCGAGCAAGCCTCGTGTAACAAAATTCCTCTGTTAAAAGAACATCTTCCTTTATTAAACTCCTCCCCCACTTCCTTTGTGTAAAGTAACAGCTATGTGCCACATGTAACAGAATGGAGAATCACTGTTAAAGTAACTACTACTCACTTCCCCCCCTCCCATCGTGTAACCAAGATGGAGCCGGAATGTGGGTGGGAGAAGTCTGTAATGACGACACTGCATCCTGTAGGGGGGGTTTAGACAAGACCCCTTAGACTGTTAACCAATTGATGAATGTATACTGTATGTTAACTGTGACTCTGTACATGACGTATTTCTGCTTTAAAAGGGAATTGCACCCCCTGGAATAAAGGCCACTCTGGAGTTCTTCATAAACCTGCAATGTGTCCGGTGTGATTTACTTCCAGAAGACATGCGCACAATCAATTTAGAAAGGAGTAGATAGACAAATAATCAAAGTTTTCTTTGGTATCCAAATCAACAGGTACCAGTAGTCTAGAGATTGGGACATGGGGTATATGCTCAGCTATCTGTATAATACAGATCTGTGTGTATAATATCCCGGGATAGTCAGTGCTTCCTGTATAGTGCTGCTCTCTGTATAATACAGGCCTGTGCCTATATAATATCCTGGAACAGTCAGTGTTCCCTGTATAGTGCTGCTCTCTGTCTTGGGATATTCTACACAAACAGACCTGTATTATACAGAGAGCAGCACTATACAGGGAGCACAGACTGTCCCAATTTAGTATACACACAACCCTGTATTATACAGAGAGCACTGACTGTCCAGGGATATTATACCCAGACAGTAATTGATAGCTGTGCTGCAAAATGTCCTTGGAATTTTTTTTTCAAATGTTGACAACTATGGCACTGTACCAAGGGTAATGTGTTTGTTTTTTTAATAATCCCTGGTGGAAAATAATGAATCCTCCACCAGGTATTATTAAAAAAACAAAACACATTGTGTCGGGGGCCGGGCTTAACATACAACAGGGGCGGGGTCAAACTGCGGCGAGGGCGGGGTTAAATGTGCCCCCCTACTTTTGTCCCTGGCCCTCCATGTGCCCCCCCTAAAAATGAATCCTAGAGACGCCACTGCCCGTACTAGATGGGCTGTTCTCACGGCTGTTAGAAGGAACAGCTTCCTGCAGTACAGCTACTTCTGAGCTGACGCTCCCAACATCTTCACTCAAACGGGGAAATCTGTTAGGCTGTACAAGATCAGGGCTAGCTAAAACTTTTCTCTTCCCTCCCCCCTGCTTCCTTGTCCCACTATTACCCACCTATGTGCCTGTTCACCAACTGTTTCATATCCTCCCACTCCCTCTACCTGTCCCCACTAAACTCTGCTCAGTGAGCAAGATTGTCTCAAGGGAGATTGTCTCAAGATTGTCAATCTCCCTAAGTGTTGCAATTTGCCTCTCCAGATCTCCAATCTGAGCTTCCATAACAGCCACTTGCTCACACCCACCACAGAGGTATGGACCCTGGACAGATTCATCCAGGCATGCATACATGCAGCACGATGTACACTGAGTAAAACTCACAATCTTGCTAGCACTCATCCCCAGTTACAAAAAACACAAGTGAGAAGAAACAATATTTACCCTCTTGGTTTAAACTCCTGTTGTTTTAACTTCTACTGTAAATAGCCTACAGCAGTCAAACAACCTAAAAAGGCTGATAATAGAGCACAATAAATGATAACAAAAATATAAAGTTACATACAAAATGTTGAAAAAGCAGCTAAAAAAAACACTTGAAACTTCCTTAAAATTTCACAATCAGTAAAAAAAATTAAAACATGTTAGCGCTATCCTGGAGAGACCCTAAATGATATACTGGATATGTATTATTTCAGTTAGTTATAAAAAAAAAACCTTGAAAATATCTGCAGCATATATCTTTCATTATGTACTCTTTCAAAAAAATGTGTATAAATACTGTCATGTCCAAGAGTTCATCGGGTAGAAATAGAAAGGGTTAATCTTGCCACACAGATAGGATCAACAGTCTTAGGATACACTGTATACCCCAACGATAGTAGTAAAAAGATACAAAAAAGATCCACATAGCGTAACACTGTATTTATTGGCATAAAACTTAAAACCCTCTCCCCCAAAAGGAACCCTTACATAAACAAATGGTGGCACTTGTTTCGAAGAAACCCCAAATCCAGCATGGGCATTAGAGAGTGAAAGTTTTACCGCCCGTCCTGCTGATTGTGTGGGTCCTGGCTGAATCTCCTTGCCCTAGAAGGACGCCAAGGCTCAGAGTCGGTATCTGCGATCACTACTAGTTCACCCCTCTGAATCAAAAGCCGTTTACACTTCAACGCATTTCGCCTGAGCAACCGGGCGTTCTTATATACGCTCACATAAGTCTGTCTTTAAAGTGCCAGATTGCTTCAAGAATTTTTCCATGAAAAGTACTCTCCCTTATATTGTACATTAAATAGGGCTTTACAGGCACATAAAATCAATTACTTTTACAAATATACAGACTATTTAAAAGTAATTCTAATTTTTTTACAGTCAAATAACATAGATTGGTCCAACAATCGGGTAACCCGTCTGTGTGAGGCTGTTTGGTATTGTGTGGAACGTGACGTGGTGTGAAGGGCATTGTCTATCAATATGTTAAGGTCCCCACCTAGTATCAGGATACCCTCCATGAATGATTCGATAGTGGGGATGCACCTCTTGAGGGTTTTACCTTGGCATCTGTTTGGGAGGTATAGGTTGGCAAATGTAATCATGTGTTGGCCCATCTAGCCTAAAACCAATAGTAGTCTGCCACCATTATCTGACTTGTGGTCCTTGTATGTGAAACGGATGTAATGAGATTAGTATGGCTACCCCACAAGCTTTGGCTCCTTCATAGTTACTGAAAAATCTTATGGGGTATTTACGATTCTTAAGGGTGGCATACCTTTTTTGAAGTTGGTTCCCTGTAAAAAAGCTACATCAGCCTAAAGCTTGTAGAGTTCACGTAGGGTAGTGACTATTTGTAGGGTAGCCTGTGTGGGAACGTATGATAAACTCTGTTCAACAAATCCGTCAGATTTTGGTAGCTATCGAGGTCTGGAGTGGATCTGGTATGGTGCACAACTAAGAAAATATACAAACAGAAAATACTTAAGCAAAAAATACTTAAACAATAAACTTAGATAAAATACAATGCAAGCAGTATACTTTTGATACAGCCTAAGAGCAGAGGCGCCCGTTTTTATCTGGCGGGGGTCATGCCCGAAGCTTGTTGAGATGCTGTGGCTCTTTTGGGATGACCCATGTTAGCGTTTTGAGCCCGATGGAGACGGGTTCGTGTCTCGGTCAGCGGGAGCTAAATTAGAGCACGACATGTGCCTCTGTGGTTTGCTCCGCCACCTTGTTGCACATTTTGTGATGAGTTTTGTTTGTGCTGTACATACATGTAGCCTGTATCCTTCATTTACATTAGTTGCTTAATCCAGATTCAAGCCTTAATCTCATTAATTTGAATCAGCATCAGAAATTACTACAAACTGTTAGAAAAAAAAAACGTTTCAAATAATTTATTTACAGAAGTCACTACTAACATCTATAGGAATTTTTATAGAAACATTATTTGAAAAGTCTTTCTAACATATTGTTATCATTTAATCCAAATGAATGAAATCCGGCCTGGGAGAATCTAATCAGGATTACAGATGGAGTTGGTTGGAGCCTGAATAACAGTTGGCCAGTTTTTAAGCCAAATAATAGACCAGGTTCTGACCAATTGCCAAAATAACTTCTAGTTTGACATAGTTTGGGAATAAACTTGCTTCAGTAATTTGAACTAATCTAATTATTGGCCCCAATAAATATATAATATATATAATTAAAGTGAAAGGATGTGCCCGAGTTCTCACCCTATTGCTTTTGGATGGATTAAACATTCTCACCTTGGGACCGGTTTATTAGCCATGGTACAGGCAGGTCTGCCTACGTAACCAGACTAGTTGTGCACATAGCAGACACGTCCACCTCAGGAAATCATTGCTCTTTTGTTCGTGCCAAAAGGAACAATATAAGTCCGGGGTTTTCCTCGCAGATTGACTTATTGCAAATTCTAGATTCTAACGTAAATAATATTGCTTCACTCTATTTCCTATTGTTTAATTTGAATAATCACAGTCTGCCCTCAGGGCAATATTCACAGACTCCTGTCACGATGCCTACTTCCAGGTTCCTGTTCCATTACATGCTGCACATGGCAAGATGGTGCAAGATGCCCACTTTAAGGGCAGAGTCTGTCATGTTGAAAGGTATATAAACAGCAAGTCCTTCTAGCAGGTTTTACATCAGACCCTGAATATCCTTTCACTCCTGCCAAAATGTATGTGAAAAGGCTCCTACTGAGCATCTTCCTTCTGAGTTTCATCAATGGAGCAGCAACTGATCCGTAAGTTTAATAAGATTTCTGTGAGATCCATTGATATAGCTGGGAGAATTAATCAAAGACAAATTTCACACACAGATAAGAACACGAAATACAGTACGTGTACTAATTAGGCATGTGCAAAAATTCCTTTGGACCGGTTCATCCAAATCAAGGCTGTTAATCCATATCTGGACAAATCGTTCCATCTGGGATTTAATTGTTGATAATTATTTAATGAATAAGACTTCACAGGGGAATCACAGACACGTCCACTCATCCAAATATTAATTAAAAAGCATTTGTTTTGGACAAACCATTCTGAACTAATTTAAGTACAAGTTTAGCACTAATTATAAAGGTGGAATTTTGAGGACTGTAATATATATATATGTATGTATGTGTTTACCTAACTGATACCAAACTGTTCATTTATGGTACATGGGTTATAAAGTATATATATATTATTTATGAGGCATGTTCCCCCTAAGGATTATTAATTGTGAATGTTTGTATTTTAGAATTTTATGACATAACAAAACCTCATCATATATCTTCTCTATGTCTACAGTACTTATTTATTGACCATCCCTGCCTTGCTGGTTGCAAACGATACAGGGAATGTCTGTTTGAACATCATCAGCAACAAGCAATCCCTCCATGCAACCATCCAACTACAGTATGATTTTGAAAACATCACCATTCTTGACGAGGAGGCCATAGTGTCTAATTTCTTCCAATGCAACACATTTAATGTGAGTCTGTAACTGCTAACCCCTCTGGTTCCATGTTTATTGACTTTAAGTAAACCTGTGATCTACGGGGAGATTTCAACGGCACAATGTCTCACCAGAGGGCTAAACATAATCTGCTCCTTATATTTGACATAATAAAAATGGGCAGGTTAGGTAATCTAATCAATTTAACCAGAAAACCTCCTTTTCTAGCTATCTTATTCTAGCTATAAACACATACTTCGTCAGACTGTACCCTCTCTGTTACGTTCCATCCACAAGAAGAACTATAAGTAGGACACTGAATAGATTATATATAGAAAGAATATCAGCTAAATCCTGCGTCCCTTCAGGTCTCTTCTTAACACTCTATCCTCAGGTATTCATACACAGAGCTGGATTAAAGGGACACTATAGTCACCTGAACAACTTTAGCTTAATGAAGCAGTTTTGGTGAATAGAACATGCCCCTGCAGCCTCACTGCTCAATCCTCTGCCATTTAGGAGTTAAACCCCTTTGTTTATGAACCCTAGCCACACCTCCCTGCATGTGACTTGCACAGCCTTCCATAAACACTTCCTGTAAAGAGAGCCCTATTTAGGCTTTCTTTATTGCAAGTTCTGTTTAATTAAGATTTTCTTATCCCCTGCTATGTTAATAGCTTGTGAGACCCTGCAAGAGCCTCCTGTATGTGATTAAAGTTCAATTTAGAGATTGAGATACAATTATTTAAGGTAAATTACATCTGTTTGAAAGTGAAATCATTTTTTTTTTCATGCAGGCTCTGTCAATCATAGCCAGGGGAGGTGTGGCTATGGCTGCATAAACAGAAACTATGTGATTTAACCCCTTGACGACCGTCATAACGGTCTGGGGCTACTAACCTGATCGCCGTCGGTCCCCCGGGCAGTCTCCCCTCGGCAGATCAGGACCCCGCGGCCACGTGATCACTCGATCACATGACCACAATAGGTGTCTGTGTATCTGCCTGCAGGGGGACTGTCTGTGCTGAGAGGCAGTCGCCCTGCAAGGGAAAAATCTAAAATAAAGTTACAAAATAAAGCAATCAGTGTAAAAAATAATAATATGTATATATATCATATATATAATGTCATACTAAGTGTATTTTTATATTTGTATATACGTATATTAATATAAAAATACACTTTTAATTTAAATTACACACGTATACATACAATATATATAATAACTGTATACGTTGTATGTATATATTATTATAAATTATAAATAATATGTTAATAAAAATAAATAACAAAAAGTTAAAATAATTTTTAATAATTAAAAAAATGATATGTATATATATATATGTGTGTAATTTTATTCTAACAGTATTTTGATATTAATATATATATATTTACATCAAAAGACACTTAGAATGTAATGACATATATATCTATGTATAAATAAATAAATACAAATAATAAGAAATATACATGTTCCATATACATAATTACATAAATAATTTCATAAATATACACGTAGACGTCAAATATATAAATATGTATATATTAAAATTCTACGTGCTTATTTATGTAATATTTTTACCTAATTAAGTAATTTTAATGATTGCAATTTGAGGGACCTGCCTGCCAACCCAGGCCGAAAGTCCAGAGAATTTACTTTGCTAGCACTGTGTTTAACCCTGTAACTTTCTATGACACCCTAAAACCTGTACATGGGGGGAACTGTTTTACTCAGGAGACATCGCTGAACACAAATATTAGTGTTCCAAAACAGTAAACCATATCACAGCGATGACATTGTCAGTGAAAGTGACGTTTTTTGCATTTTTCACACACAAACGGCACTTTCACTGATGATATTATTGCTGTGATACATTTTACTGTTTTGAAACACTAATATTTGTGTTCAGCAAAGTCTCCTGTGTATAACAGTACCCCACATGTAAAGGTTTTATAGTGTTTGTGAAAGTTACAGGGTCAAATATAAGGCTTGATTTTACTTTTTTTTTTGAGATTTGTCAGATTGGTTAGGTTGCCTTTGAGAGCGTACGGTAGCCCAGGAATGAGAATTACCCCTATGATGGCATACCATTTGCAAAAGAAGACAACCCAAGGTATTGCAAATGGGGTATGTTCAGCCTTTTTTAGTAGCCACTTAGTCACAAACACTGGCCAAAGTTAGCGTTTTTTGCATTTTTTACACACAAATATTAACACTAACTTTGGCCAGTGTTTGTGACTAAGTGGCTACTAAAAAAGATTGGACATATCCCATATTGAATACCCTGGGTTGTCTATAAAAATATGTAAATGTGGGGTGTGATTCGGCTATTTATGACTGATAACGGTGTTACAATGTCACTATTGATAAATTTAAAATACATATATATTGAAACAGTAATTTCCTACTTGTATTTATAGGCCTATAACTTGCAAAAAAAAGCAATAAGTCATGTAAACACTGGGTGTTTTTAAACTCGGGACAAAATATTGAATCTATTTAGCAGTTTTTTTCATTAGCTTTTGTAGATAAGTAAAAGATTTTTCAAGTAAAAGTCCAAAAACTTTATTTTTTTCAATTTTTCTCGATATTTTTTTTTTTTAAATAAAATATATGACATGATACAAATTATGGGATGTAAAGAAAGCCCTTCTTGTACTGAAAAAAATAATATGTAACTTGTATGGGAACCGTAAATGAGAGAGAGGAAAATTACAGCTAAACACAAACACCACAAAAGTGTCAAAACTGCTCTGGTCCTTAATGTACAACATCGCAAAAACAGGCCGGTCCTTAAGGGGTTAACTCCTAAATGACAGTGAATTGAGCCGTGAAATTGCAGGGGAATGATCTATGTTTTGTGTATATATCCCCCTATCTCCTGCTGTCCTTACTTGGTGGTAAAGTGAAGGGTGAACTGGATCCCACGCGGTCCAATGGGGGAGACTTGTGATGTGAACGTGCATCAACATCACATACAAACACATACAAACACATACAAACACATACAAACACATACAAACAACTTTAAGAGTTCCCATGGCCGTCCCCCAGCACTTCTTGGTGATTTAAAGTACCAGAACCACGTTGGCACAAGTATACATTTTTACATTTGATTTTGGCAAAATAACTACAGTCATTGCTTGGGAGACAAGGCATGTAGTCCCAGGACCACATATTATGCAAAGTGCATAAATAGTTTCAAAGGAACAAGGAAATGACATAAAATAAAATATATATATATACATTTCTTCTTAAAGGAACACTTTGGTGTTAGGAATACAAAGATATAGTCCTAACACTAATATGTTCTTCTGCTCCCGCAGCCTCTTTACAGCGTTGTATAGGATTAAATAACCCTTAGCTGTCTGGTAGACAGGCACCAGAGGCAGTCTTAGATCCACAATGTAAACATTACAGTTTCTCTAAAACTAGTGTCGTACATTTCAGAACTAAGGGGACAGGGACGCTGCTCCTAGACCACTTCAATTAGATGAACCTAAAACAGCCAGTCTAAGCACCAAAACTACTTCAGCTTACTAAACTGGTAATGGTGCCAGGGCCCTGTCCCTGCAGTCTGACATCTTGAATATTAATGCATTTTCTGTGAGTAGACAAATCCCATCAGGCAGCCAGAATTCTCTCCCAGGTTGCCTTAATTCTATATAACGTCTGCTAAGAATGCCCACACTCTACGCACACAAGTATGAAGGATTCTTCCATCTCCCCCGGGCAATGGGACCAGGCTGTACCGAGCGTGATAGCAGTTGGGGTTTACAGGTTTAGCCTCTTTTAGTTGTGCAACATTAGATCTTTCGAGGTAAGTGTATATTGCTATTTTCTTTTAGGTTATTTTAGTGCAAAAAATCTTTATAATGCATTATAGATCTAATATTTAGAGTCTCTGCAAACCCCTTAATGCTCTTAATAATGTATTAAAAGGTTCTTAAAAGCGTTGTGAAGGTTTTCTGTCTGATCTTTAATATTTGTTGCGTTACATTATGTGAAACACACATTCCAGAGTGGGATATCCTCAGATGTCCTCTGTCTTCTTCCTCTCTTAGGTTCCGTCAGTGGAGACTAATACCCCTGTGTTTGTGTATATGGTTATCTCTGGAGAAGATTATAATATCGAGAAACGCAAGTCGGTGGTGATACAGCCATTCGGTGATAACACATACGCCCAATTTGACAAACCTTTGTACCAGCTGGGAGACCTAGGTAATCACACCGAGAATGGGGATTTATGGCACTGACTCATACTGCGCCCCTGGTGATGTTTATAATTAAATCTCAATCTGTCACAGTCATGTCCCCTAAATACTGCCGAAAGGCAGGGGTCCTTAATGGACTGGTCATTCCAGAAAACCAAGTGATGGTAATCTTAAATAAAATGTTCTTCTTCCGCAGTGAAATTCCATGTGTTCTGTCTCAATCACAAGCTGCTGCCTCAGAACAAGACGGTGAGTTAATGTCCGTGTACTGAGGGTGAGTGAGAGCATGTTAATGTATTAAGTGTGAGTGTGCTCTGCAGTTAATGTCCCTGTACTGAGGGTGAGTGAGAGCATGTTAATATAATAAGGGTGAGTGTGCTCTACTGTCAATGGTCCTGTACTAAAGGCTAGTGTGCTCTTTTAGTTAATAGCCCTGTGTCCTTTAGATGAGGGACTCTTTGCTGTCTCAATGAGTGGTCCCTTGAGTTTGAGAGAGCATGTAAGTGGCCCTTCAATCAGCAGGTGAATATTCATGATCTCCTTGGGTGCTGCAGTGGAGCGTGTGAGCGCATATTCTATACAGGTAGTCCTGGCCATGAGACAGCAGAGCACTTGCCCCTGTGATACTAGCAAACCGGGTTTATAGCCACAAGGATTGTTTTGCTAGCCCAGCCCTTGGTTTGTGCTTGGTCAGACTGCTCACAGTTTCAATGCTCTCTGGGGTATCTCTTGGCTGCAGTAAGCATCAATGGATGTTAATTAGTAATTAGAAGCATTACATCTGAACAAACTGATCTTCAGGAATTTTACCTTATTCATTTCATTTTTGCACAAGTTTATTCATTGAATGCGGGGGGATTTTAGAGCAAATAGTCATAAACTGTACTGATATGTCTGTGTTTTCCTTGCAGTATGCAGTAATCTACATCACGGTAAGAAACACGTCTCCTAATTCTTTGTAAAATAATTTATATTGTTGCCTGGGGGGCAATGTTAATGCATGAAAACTTGTATTACCCGAATAAGGCATCTGATTTACATGACGAATTATCGGGATGATGTTTACAATCTTCCAGAAAAACCTAATTATAAAAATATTTTGTGCATCTAATATAATAGTATCAGTAAAAACCATTTCACTAATGACTTGGTGTGTAAGCCATTGATAGTAAATACAGGGTAATTACACGTTACAAAAGCAATATTAAGCTTACTGAAAGACAGGAGACTATTCTATAAACTAATTCTCCAATGACTATGAAAATATAACCAACAATGAATAAAGATTCACTATATTAATAAAGATACACACTCCAAGCGAAGCAAGATATGCATGATTCGTTTTTAGGAAGGTTATGTCGTTTCCCCCCCACCAAATATATATTGCATGGTCCTCATACTAGAGTATATCCACTACCGTCTCAGTAAAGTAATACTTCTTGGTTCAAAAATAATATCAGGAAGTATTCCATTACTGAGAGGGTAGTGGGTGCATGGAATAGCCTTCCAGCTGAAGTGGTAGAGGTTAACACAGTAAAGGAGTTTAAGCATGCGTGGGATAGGCATAAGGCTATCCTAACTATAAGATAAGGCTAGGGACTAATGAAAGTATTTAGAAAATCTGGCAGACTAGATGGGCCGAATGGGTCTTATCTGCCGTCACATTCTATGTTTCTATGTGTATATAGCATGGTCCTGATAACAGAGTGTATATGTATGTGTGTGTATGTATATATATATATATACATAGTACAGTACTGATAATAGAGTGTGTATATAGCACCGTCCTAATAATAGAGTGTGTATATATATAGCGTGGTCCTGATAATAGAGTGTGTATATAGCACCGTCCTGATAATAGAGTGTATATATATAGCGTGGTCCTGATAATAGAGTGTGTATATAGCACCGTCCTGATAATAGAGTGTGTATATATAGCGTGGTCCTGATAATAGAGTGTGTATATATAGCGTGGTCCTGATAATAGAGTGTGTATATATATAGCGTGGTCCTGATAATAGAGTGTGTATATATATAGCGTGGTCCTGATAATAGAGTGTGTATATATATAGCGTGGTCCTGATAATAGAGTGTATATATATATAGCGTGGTCCTGATAATAGAGTGTGTATATACCGTATGGTACTGGTACTGGAGTACATATATTGTATGGTCCTGGTAGTGCATTATATATAAAGCATATGTCTAGAAGTGGAGAATACATATGGTTCCGATACTGAAAGTTAAAGTGTGAGGTCATTGTATTGAATGAGATAAAACAGGCATAGGCACTGCAGATGTTTTGGACTACACCTCCCATGATGCTTTGCCAGCATTATGGGTATAAGCGCATTATGGGGGATGTACTCCATAACATGTGGAGTGCCAAAGGTTGCCTACCCTGAGATGTGCTTGATGTGTATGTAGTAATATAGCATGGTCCTGTGATCTATAGCGTCAATATTTCTTCTATTAATTTAATATTTCTTCCACAGGATCCGAGCGGTAACCGCCTGGCCCAGTGGTTAGATCAGACGTTGAAACACGGCATTTTGGAATTTCAATTCCAGCTCGGAGACGATGCTGCCCCAGGATACTACACTATTTACAGTGAAACAGAAACCTCTGAATATTCTAACTACATCCAATCATTTCCAGTGCAGGAGTATGGTACACATCCTTATTGTTTATATGACGGGTCCCTTTGGATACATTTAAGCAGCGATAATGGTCACAGTTAGAAAAATACATTTTAAAAAATTGGTTCATCTGAATCTTTTCATTTGAAAATAAAAACCTATTGACCAATGTGAATTTTGTCCATGTATTTGTTCAATTTGTTTGAATTCAAACAAACCGATTTTCTTTTTAATCTGTGTTTCTGTGTTTCAGTAATACCCCGATTTGAGGTGAATGTAATAGTCCCGAATGCCATATCAGTATTGGACATCAATTTCCTGTTTGAGGTCTTTGTCTTGTGAGTACAAACTGAACAATAAATTTTACTATTCACTTCTAACCCATTATAAATAAACTGTAAGGAGAAATATCAAGGAATTCTGTGAAATAATTCTAATTAATAATACTGTTATTGTCAGAATGTTGCTCATATTCTCTTTGGACAGAACACAAACTATCAACATTGTTTAATCCAATTCAGCAGATTGTCGTGATTAACAGACTCCATGTTGGACATATTTCTTCTCCTTTCCCAGATATACATATGGTGACCCAGTCCCAGGTGTCGTCACAGCAAGAATCTGCAGATCTCCCGAGTACCGCTATGGCCCAAAGAGTAACTGCTTTTACAACATCGATATTTGTCATGATATCACAGGCGCAGTGAGTATCCACTTTTCAATGGTTAGCTGCCGAGTCTGGGACTGCTGGAAGGCTGCAAAGCTAATGGAAGCATATAACATGTTACCATTTCTCATCATACTATAACACATTGATTGCTTTCCTTTCTTTTGTTGCCCTAAGCAGATTGGGCCTAATGGTACATTCTCCAGTGTCGTCGATCTACATCAATTCCACATAAATCTACAAGGATTCCAGATGGGGCTCAGTGTAGAACTCACTGTCGTGGAAGCAGGCACAGGTAAAGATAGTTATCTGAATGTCCGGACCAACTAGACAAAGTATTAACGCAAAATAAAAATATGCATTTCCTATCTTACTGTCTGTTTTCTTAAATATACCAGAAGGTAACATCCACATGTCATAGAATACACACACACACTCGCTCGGTCTCTTTCTCTCTCCGTGTCCTAAAACCCACACACACACACACTCTCTCTCTGTCCTTCTCTCTCCGTGTCCTAAAACCCCCACACACTCTACCTCTCTCTTTTTCTCTCCATGTCATAAACCCCCCCCACACACACACTCTGCCTCTGTCTTTCTCTCTCCATGTCATAAACCCACCACACACACACTCTCTCTCTGTCTTTCTCTCTCCATGTCATAAAACCTGCACACACACTCTCGCTATGTCTCTTTCACTCTCCATCTCATAACCCCCCCTCCACACACACACACACACACACTCTCATTCTGCCTTTCTCTCTCCATGTCATAAAACCCACACATACACACACACACACACACACTCCCTCTGTCACTGTCTCTCTCCATGCCTTAACCCATGTCTTAACCCCACACCTACATACACACACACACACACCCCGGCCCTCCTTTGTCCCCTAAATATAGTAAAATCTTACCCCTTAAACTTATTCCAGTCTGCTGCTGGCACTGCCCCAGATCTGCCTTCTTGGCTGTCATTGTCAGCTAAGATTGCTAAGGAGGCAGATCAGGGGCAAAGCCAGCGCAAGTCAAATACAGCCCTGGCCAATCAGCATCTCATCATAGAGGATGCATTGAATCAATGCATCTCTATGAGGAAAGTTCAGTGTCTCCATGCAGAGGGTGGAGACACTGAATGTCAGTCACGCTATGCAGCTCTGCCCCAGGAAGCACCTCTAGTAGCCATCTGAGGATTGGCCAGTGGAGTTAGCACTAGGCTCTAATTTAAATACTGCATTTTCTCTGGAAACAGAGTGTTTACAGGAAAAATCCTGACGGGAATGATTCTACTCACCAGAACAAATACAACAAGTTGTATGCTGTACAATAAGCTGTAATTGTTCTGGTGACTATAGTGTCCCTTTAAAGCATTTCTTTATTACTGGAGATGAGTATGTGCTTCACAGCTGACTACCATCACTTACTCGTTACATTTGGCATTCTTCACCACAAGACAGTGTAAAAACTATTGTTTCCTATTTTTTGCTCAATGGAATGCAATTCTCTAATCAGCTCAGTGTTTGGAATCACAGCTTCTGATTGGTCGCTGGCATAACATACTTTCAGAAGCACATGAACTTTGTAACTTGCTGTGTATGAGATACTATACAAGATATTTGCATCCAACAGTTAAATCTTCTTAATCATAGCCTTCAAGTACAGATGGTCCTCACTTTACGACCTACCTGTTTTACAACGGCTCACACTTACGACCAGCACTCCAGCGTGGGGATTGAAGGCATGAAGGGAGAGCTGGTCTATGTTCGGGAAATTTCCCCCAAACATAGATTAGAGGGATTCCCTGCTCTGGTGCGTATGTCTACATTCGGGTAAATTTCCCCGAACATAGAAAAACGCACCAGAGCAGAGAATCCATCTAATCCATGTTCGGGGAACGTTCCCAGAACATAGATTCATGGGATACCCTGCACTGCTGCCCTTGACTATGTTCGGGGAAATTTCCCCGAACATAGACCTGCACTGGTGCACATGCTCTATTGCGCATCCTCTCTTACCGACCAATTTGTTTCACGACCGGGCCGTAAGAATGGAACTTAGTAGGTAAGTGAGGAGTAGTTGTAATGTTTTAAACGGATTGTTGTAAAGGAAGTTGTAGTCGAAAGGTCCACCTTATTTTAGAAGCCATTTTCAAAAAAGACAATTGATCTTCTGTTTCTCTAACAGGAGTCCAAGTTAAAGAGTATCGTTACATTTATATCTCAAGTCAGCTGGCAAATGTAAGATTTCTTTATGAATCCATGGACACATATTACAGACACGGACTTCCTTATCCTGTTGGGGTAAGTGTCACGCGTAGTATTTGTTTGTATTCATGGTTTATTATACTCACAGGTAAACTCAGGAGGGTTTCATTGTCATACCGTGTCAAAATAAATAATAAATAATCAGTTCTCAGTGTAGATCTTCCCGTATTGTTCAGCACAATTAGGTTTAACCCCTTAAGGACCAAACTTCTGGAATAAAAGGGAATCATGACAAGTCACACATGGCATGTGTCCTTAAGGGGTTAAAGTCAGTCAGTAACATGAAAGTGTTGTGGAAATGTAAAGAGACACTCCAGTCCCCTGTTGTGTTTGGAGCGTGTGTCTTCTTGTTTTCATTTTACAAAAAGTGCAGAGTTGAACAGAAATGAGCATTTTTATAAATTATCCTTGTTACACCCCCCTGGCTGTCAGTCAGTTATCCGGTTACATTAAAACAATGATTAATGGAAAACAAGATGATTGTTGGTTAAGTGACAGTCACAAAATCTATATTTATAGATTATATATTTCATAAATATGTCATATAGAAATATAGAAATATGACTTTTTCCCTCTTTTATTACATTGTCTCACTTGATCTGTGAATTGTATACACCCGCCACAATGCCCTCCCTGTCACAGGTTCCTCATTCTGATATTTCCATAACATTTCACCTCCAGGTTTCTCTAACAAATGAAAAGAATGAGCCCATTCCAAATCAGCCAATTAACCTGTCCTTTAACGACGAGTTTCTTGTAACTTTAACGACTGATTCCAGTGGAATAGCAGGATACCTTATTGATACAAATAATTATATACAGCCTAATTTTAATCTCACGGTGAGTACAGAATGACATTATTCTTTTTATAAATTTTCGTTGTATTTACATGGGTCTAGAGCTGTGGAAACGCATGAGAATTCCCTTACCTTAACACCTCTTACTGTTGCGTACGTTACAGAAATTATTATTACAAGGTGCTGCATGTTTAAAAGCTGCAGAAAAATCGAATTTTCCTTATACATCTTGCAAACCCTGAATGTTCTTTATGCAATCTTATACAAACTGAAACGTGACCGTTAACTCAGGCAACACTCTCTTAAACTGCCATATTCTGTCTGGCTCTTATCAAGCACTCCAAACTAGCTGATTTCTGGAGATTAATTAAATAGCCTGTGTGATGGAGCTTCCTGTACCCCGGTTGGATACCTCCACCGATGGCTGCTCCTAGTGTTTCTTACTAAGGACCATCAGCACCGCACCAGACACCATAAGCACTGCAGACCCCACGAACCGCCGCAGCTTGGTCTCGCCATCTCCTACCCACCTTTGATCTATGACAAGGCTCCAGGCTCCAGTGGGTGAACCTCTCTTCCTTCAGAGAGTGAAGCAGGAACAACTCTTAGAGGAGCTAGTGATCAGCATCCAGGGCCAGACTGGCCCACCGGGATACTGGGAAATTTCCCCGTGAGCCGCAGCACCTGGCGGCTGCAGATAGAGAGGGAGCCCTGCTACCTATATTTTAATAACATCGCGGCCATCAGCCACGTGTCAGTGCTGATGGGTGGCCAGTCCGGCGGCACACACTGAGGGGGTTACTTACCTTGCAGCTGGCGGCCCCATCTCCTGTGCTGTATAACTGCTGTCAGTATCAGTGAGAGTGCCGGACGGCTGCCTGACCGGTCCGGCGGCACACTCACTGATACTGACAGCAGTATAGCTGTCGGCACAGGAGGACTGAGGGAGGGGTCAGAGCTAACTACCATGCCCCCTCTTGGTTCCCATAATTCCCAGCACAGGGATTACTCCATGATGTGTCCATGCTGGGAATTATGGGAACCACGAGGGAGCATGGTAGTTAGCTCTTCCCCTCCCTCAGTCCTCCTGTGACAAGATAGAGGGGTAATAGAGAGACAAAGGGAAGGGGGGGACAAAGACAGGAGTAAAAGAGAGACACAGGGGAAGGGGGGACAAAGAGACAGAGGGGTAAGAGAGAGACACAGGGAGGAGAGGGGACAACGAGACAGAGGGGTAAGAGAGAGACACAGGGAGGAGAGTGGGAAAGATAGATACATGGAGGAGAGGGGAGAAAGAGACACACAGAAGGTTTGTTGGGGACAAAGAGACATACAGAAAGGAAGGGGAACAAAGAGACACACAAGGTTTGTGGGAGGCCAAGCTGGGCTGGGGGAAAAAAGAGCCACAGAGTGGCTGGGAGAGGAGAAAGAGGCACACCGAGTCTGGAGTTAGAAAGAGACACACAGATGGGATTTGGAAGGGGAGAAAGAGACAAAGGGACTGACATACACAAAAGGGGCTGGGAGGAAAGAGACATACAGAGGCTGGGAAGAAGTAAAAGATACAGAGGGGGAGCTAAAAGAATTACAAGGGTCCCTGTAAGAGACAAAAAGAAGAAAATTAGAGACAAGATACACTAAACGAGGTAAAAATAAATCAAAGGAGGGAATAAGAGACACAAACAAAGGCAAGAAATTCATGAGGGAGTTAAAAGAAACACAAGAGACGATGCATTTGTTTTTGTGTGTTTCGGGGGGGGGGGGTGGGGAGGGGGGTGCATTTTTGCCTGTGTCTCCTGCTCTCCCTGTAATGGGAGTTTATGCAGAAGAGCTCATTGACAGGTAAGAGAAAGACCTCTTATTAATCAGATTTTGTTTCCAATATATGCATCATGCACAATGTACAGATGGACGCAACGGATGTGATCCTGACAGTAATACACACTATATATATATATGCATGTATATTAATGTGTGTATTAGTAACATATATAATTATGCCTATAATATTTACACATATATTAAGAAACATTTATACATGTATAATACACACAGAAATGTAATTAATATGTACCATATGTAATGAGCAGATATTGGCCCAGTATTGTTGCTAGTTGCATACTCCAGCACAATAACATATTCAAATTGAAGAGTGCACCCATAGGACTTCAGAATAAACAAGATAATACAATTTTTTTCAGTTGTGCAACTGCAGACATTCACCATTTCAGTCCCATTACTAAAATTTCCTTAACCCCTTAAGGACCAAACTTCTGGAATAAAAGGGAATCATGACATGTCACACATGTCATGTGTCCTTAAGGGGTTAAAGGATCACTATAGTGTCAGGAAAACAAAGTGGTTTTCCTGACACTTTAGTGCCCTGAGGGTGCCTCCACCCTCAGGGTCCCCCTCCCGTGGTTAGAACCCCTTCAGCAGCTTACCTATTCCAGCGCAGGGCTTCCTCTGAGCTGGTGACCTCTCCTACCCCACCGACATCATAGAAACATAGAAACATAACATAGAAACATAGAAACATAGAATGTGACGGCAGATAAGAACCATTCGGCCCATCTAGTCTGCCCAATTTTCTAAATACTTTCATTAGTCCCTAGTCTTATCTTATAGTTAGGATAGCCTTATGCCTATCCCACGCATGCTTAAACTCCTTTACTGTGTTAACCTCTACCACTTCAGCTGGAAGGCTATTCCATGCATCCACTACCCTCTCAGTAAAGTAATACTTCCTGATATTATTTTTAAACCTTTGTCCCTCTAATTTAAGACTATGTCCTCTTGTTGTGGTAGTTTTTCTTCTTTTAAATATAGTCTCCTCCTTTACTGTGTTGATTCCCTTTATATATTTAAATGTTTTTATCATATCCCCCCTGTCTCATCTTTCCTCCAAGCTATACATGTTAAGATCCTTTAACCTTTCCTGGTAAGTTTTATCCCGCAATCCATGAACCCTCCCCCGTCCGACGTCAGCGTCCATAGGAAACCGTTTCTTAATGCTTTCCTATGGACGCTCTGTGCGATGGATGTGGAAGACAGCCACTAGAGGCTGGATTAACCCCAAATGTAAACATAGCAGTTTCTCATAAACGGTTATGTTTACATGTGAAGGGTTAAAACCTGAGGGACCTGGCACCCAGACCACTTCATTGAGCTGAAGTGGTCTGGGTGACTATAGTGTTCCTTTAATATCTCAAAGTAGTTGTACTGAAACATTGATTACATGCAAATGTACGTCTGCTCAAAATAAAAGCGCTCTTTTGTTTATTTTGAAGCCCTATATGGTTTCATTCGTTGGAGTAATAGTTTTCAATGTGAAGTTATCTTTTCCACCTCTATATCAGCACACTTTGCTGGCACGATGCATTATTGGGCTGGCATAGAATTTTTTCCAGGGCTGCTTTTAGTTCCCAGTCTGGCCCTGTTAGCATCCAGGGGAGTATAGAGCAGGACCAGATTAACAGCCCAGCGGACCTGGTGCTGACACTTATGATGGGGCCTTATTACAGAATTTTATCGACCAAAAACACAAACATTCCCACGCGCCATGTATCTGATATAGATGGTGCTGGAGGGAAAGAAAACAGCAGATATACGAAAACACATACCCTATGCTAATCTCCCTCTAATTTATGTTTTTATCTTTCAAGTAAAGCCATAACCCCTAACAGGAGTGTCCAGTCAAGCAGGAAGTCAATAGACACGGTAAAAGGGTGTGCCACTGACACAAATCACGTAACCTGCCAAAAGGGGTGAACATGCCCAAAAAGAGGGTTTGTCTGCCCAAAGCACTGGAAGGCCAGCCTGGCCTAGTCAATCATGCAAGCTGGCCAACTAAGGGCATACTATGCAGACAGCACCCTGAGCTTGGCATAAATGTGTCTAATGATGCGCTCGCTCAATGCTTTCTGAGGACTGTCCCCTAGCACTCACTGGTCCACTTGTCTCCTTAACTTCTTACTAGCAGGCAGAAGCTCCTGGTATATTGTCTGGGACAGAGAAAAGCTGTATGTAGTGAGTGTAGAAGAAAAGGGACATGCCACAGTGTTAGAGAGACAAAGTCAGCATTACCTTAACTAATTTCATATTCAGCCAGTCCACACAGGTTTTGTTCCCATACATCCCTCTTAAGTTTCCATACTTAAGCAAGAGTATGTGAAATGTAGTTAGGGTTGTCATCTTTCTTGGGAAAACATACATGCCTTGCTAATTTGCATAATTATGTAAGGGTGACATCACATGATGTAAATCACAAGGAGTGACATTAAAAAAATGCTGTAAAATTACCAAGAAACTACTTGGTTTGATTCTGCTGTATAGATGGATTGCTCCCAGTGCCCCCATGTCTCCCAGTGCCCCCATGTCTCCCAGTGACCTCATGACTCAGTGTCCCCATGTGTCGATTACCCCAGGTTTCAGTCTCCCTATGTATCAGTGTCTCAGTGCCCCATGTATCACAGTGTTTCAATGCCCCATGTATCCCTGTTTCCCCCCCCCCAGCATTCCCATGTCTCCCAGGGTCCCCATGTCACTGGGGACCCACTAGGGGATGCAGATTCTAGGGACACTGGCTGGAGACATAGGAACACTGAGACACCAGGGCCACTGGCTGGGAGACATGGACACTGGGAGACATGGGGACACTGTATCCCCATGTGTCTCTGTCTCCCCATGTCTCCCAATGTCCCTTACTGTCCCAGTGTCCCCAAGTGTCCTTCACTTCCCTGACCTCTAGGCTGTCTCTGCATGGTGGGAGTTGCTGTCTGGACTCTCTGTAGCTGCTCCCCTGCGGATCAGTGAGTATAGATAGGCATGGAGTTATATCGTGGAACTTCCTATCCCTGCCTCTCTCCAAACACAGCGAGCCCTACTGGCCAGTGCTGCTATTGTAATCCCTGTTTATACTAAGGAAAATACCAGCATTTGTATTTCCAGTATGACTGCAATATCGGCACCAGCCAGGCAGCCTCAAATACCGGCAGTGCCAATAAAATACCAGCCAGGTGGAAACCCTAAGTAGTACTGTAGTAGAGTAGTGTATTTTTTTAAAATAAAAAAATGGGCCTATTCCATTATACAGAGTATAGCAATCCCCAGTGTGATATAGCAGTACCCTACAACACGAGAGGAGGTTGCGAGTTGAGGGTAAGAAGGTTTGAAGGTTTATTGAACAGCTTGAGTTTAATTACAGTTTTTCCCCACAAGGATGATGCCCAGGTGAACCTTGTGGGGCACAGGACACAGAATTAATAAACCAATAAAAACAGAGTCTTACATGCAGACACTCCCCTACAGTGTACACAAGCCCTTCCCTCTGCCTGTGATACAATTAACAAAGACAATGGGCTAACTCAATTAACTCTAAAACAGAAAAAAATTTTTTTACAAACCCCAAAAGTACACTAAAATACAACATATCCCCACAAAAGTCACACCCCCTGATAGCCCCGATGAACAACATATCCAAAAATCACCCAGAGCGGTTCAGGGGTTTAGGAATTTCCTGGAAGTCTTATTTTTGCCCCACCGTGCACATGGTCCCATGCCCAAAACAGTTCAATATACACTCGACGATAAAACACTGCTGGGCAATTTAAGATGGCCGCCACCGCATGTTTGAATCTGTTCCAGTTAAAAGTCCAAGGGGCAGAAACAGTAATTTTGAACATGGGTTATCACAGGGCCCATAGTCCTGGGGCAAGAGGCTGGCAATCAGGCCCCTCCAAAAGCCAGTGGCAAAGTGTAATTCATCACAGCCTGAAATTTCATATTATCGGCCCGTTCTAAGTCATTCATCCCAGCCTTGAACACTATGCTACTTGTTCCAGAAATGTAATTTATTTATCACTGCTTGGAGTTAGGTTCAGAACATTGATGGAGGTTCTTCAACAAACCATCCGTATTGGTGTAACAGTCACCTGGGGATTTATGTAACAGTTTACCAGGAGTTGGAGCCCAGTTGCAAGAGATGGCACAGGGAGTAGGCAAAAACCAGAAGCGCAGTACAGATTAAGGGGAGTTCCAAAGGCAGGGTCAGACGAGAAGCAGAAGTCAGGGTGGGCAGTGCAGTAACGTAGTCAGTAAAGCAGGCAGAGGTCAGAGTCCAGGAAATCAGTCAATAGCGAAGCAAAGATCCGTCAGGATACACCAAACAGGCAAAATGATCATAGGTTTCAGGCAAGGCTGGCTTTTAGAGCCTGCTAATTAGGTGCAGCTGACCCTAATTGGAAAAGGGCTGCAGGTGGGTCAGCACTGCTTAACCCAGGCAAGGAGGTCAGGAAGCAGAATAATGCAAACAGAAACTGGAGCCCCCTGGTGGACAGCACAGCAAATAACCTGAGTGGGATGCTGGTGCTGTAAGCTCAAACCCAGCCAGGTCTCTCAAAGGGGCAGCCACACCTTGCTGTCTGCAGTGTTTGGGCTGTGCTGTGACAATTGGGAGTAGTCATGGTTTGTTCATATTTATACTATTTTATGAATGTATCACTGAATTAACATGAAAAGTGTGTTGTTGTTTTTTTTAATTCTATTTTACTATACAGCGAAGTATAGGAAGGTGAGGTAAGACATTATCAATATCTTGTCATATGCTAGACACCTTTTTTTGGATAATGGATAAATAGGTATAATATAATATACTGTGTGTGGGGCCCAGAAAGCTTTTATATTTATAATGCATTTTATCTATTTTTCTAAGGCTACATATGAAAACCCAGATCAGTGTTACTACTTAAGCTATAGTAACGAGCAATATCCCACAGACCGTCACCAAGTCTTACGCTTTTATTCCGAGACGGGGAGCTTTGTGCAGATCCACCAACTTCTTGGAGAGCTGAGCTGTGGGCAAAGCTATAGTGTCGATGTGCAGTATATACTGACCAGGGAAGGAGTGGGAGAGGCTAGTACTATCACATTCTATACAATGGTGAGTATCGAAGGGTGGAACAAAGCAGTGCTGGTTAGGACATATTCAGTAATGCAGACTATAGGATGGTTAATTTGAATAAAGTCTAGGTCACACAGGAAGTCCAGGGTATTGTTACAGAGAATATTCCTTGTTTGAATGGACTGCTACATATCTAAAAATGTACCCACTATCTCCAATATTACATCATTGTCCAGCCAAATGCCACCCTCTGACCAGCCACAAACTGTATAAAAGGGTATCCTTCATTTACTTTTTTGTATAATACAATTATTTTGCTAATTCTATCTGGTGTTTTCTTGTTATGCCATAGTACAGAAAGTAGTAAACTATGGCTTAGTGTTATCGTAATATTAATTGATGTCGTGATTTATGTAGGAGGTCAGCCATTTATGTAGGATGTCAGCTAACAATTACGTCATACGTAGTGAGTAACAAATAAAAGGAGGAGAGGTTAAATGGAAAGTCTAAACACCATGACCACTACTGTTACTTTCATTGGTTAGTGGACAAAGGGACAGAGTGTGCAATTGTTTTGTTTGTTTTCTGTTCTTCAAATCATTTTTTAGATATATGACAAAAATAATTTAACGATAATCAGGGGACAGCGTCTACTGACTGTTTGCAGCCTAACTACTACATCTCACTGTAGTGGTTCTGGTGCTTGTTACGGTTGCCACAGGCTAGCTGAGGGTTGGATCTGGGCAAACAACATATCCGAAAATCACCCATAACAGAGCAGGGATTCACAAATTCTATGTAAGACATATTTGACCAACCGCAAGCATGGCTTTCATGCCCAAAAAAAGAGTTCCACAGAATTAGGCTGTCGGCCGGTCTATCTTCTCCTTCAAATAAAGTACAAATTGCACGAATGGATCGGTTTGTGCATAGCTTCATTGTAATTGTCTCATTCACTAGTCTATTCCCTTAAAATAGTGCTCCATTCGCATGAATTTAGCCGAACGCACGGAAGGTAGAAGTCTCAGCGGTGTTCTTGGAAATAGTAGCCGAAAACAGTTTCAGGCATTCGATGACAAAACACCACTGAGCGCGTTCGGTGAAACAAAATGGCCGCCGCCACATGTTTGTTCATTCAAACGCCGGCCACCCAGCAGTTCGTCAATTAAGCTGCGGTTAACCACAGCTTCTGGGTGGTTAACGAGCAGCACAGGGTTGTTCGGCCGTTTGTTCGGTGAACTCAATTTACCGAACCACACAGAGAAAAAGTTACTAACAAACCTTTTTACAGTCTGGGAACAAAGTGTTAGCCATGGGCATTAGTCATAGGGCAGGAGGCTGGCAATCAAAGGGTAGTTTGTCACAGTGCTTACCGTGTCTCTTTAAACACCACTAGCACATTAACAGCAAACCCTTCACAAAGAGGATCAGAAGACTAAAGAGCCCAACAATAATAATGTATATTCATATTTATTTACCCCATTCCTTTCAAATCAGAATTTGCTAAAAATAAAGGATTTTTTTTCAAAACTGGTTGCAGAAAACAAGGTTTACATCTAACGAGATAAAATGTTCACAGCTTTGGGATTTATTTACTGAAAAGGGAAAAATAAAATTAGAAACGGCAAATAGAATAGAATTTTTCAGAAATCTGGAATTTTGGTTGTAGTTTTGTAAATGCAGATTTCTACAGTTCTGAAAATGTATGTGAAGTTTACACCAGTCTCTGTCTCTTTTCTTAGATAATGTCAAAATTATTGCTTGTGCAACATGCTTCGCATGACGTAGATCTGACCACATGTAAGTACTCTGTTCATATTCACACAAACCAACAGAGGAGTGATGAAAAAACTATGAAGCAATGTAATAGTTAGAGATTAGCATGGGGGAAAAATAAATTTGTTTTCAATTTGTTCATTTTATCGATTCAGATGACCAAAGTTTCATCTGAAAATGTTCAAAATTCAGACATCCATTAATCCCTATGAACAATGCATAAATGTGGCAGTCACTAAGTAGATCTACATCCAATGTAGAGATGTATCTGCTAAGCTGCTGAAAGGTGAAAATTGAGAAAACCCCTTCTACTACTTTTCTTAATTTTGATATTTCAGTTATTTAGTCATTAATTCCCTGATCTGCTATCCTTACGTGGATTGCCATAAGGATACAAAAGAAAGAGCTTTTTACTAAACCGCAGAGAGATCTAAATTAAGTAATACCTTTTCTTTTCTGAATTTTGCTCTCAGTTGTTTGGTAGATAGCTCCCTAATTTGATATCCTTATCGAAATGAATTTTTTGATATGTTACCGACTGATTTATTTTCATTTCGTCTTCATTACTTGTCAGCTAAGAAATTCGGACGCGTCAGATTTGCCAAAATTCAGAGGAGATTTGTTCAGAACGAAATTATCATCACATGTCTATTAAGGGTTAAAAGGACAATTTAAGCAGAACGTTTTGTATAACTCAAGCAATCTGATTTTTCCTGTAAATGTTCTGCAAAGTAATCATTATCCTCTCTCTTTCCAGCTCTGACGGGCACGTTTTCTGTAGAAATCTCTGTATCTGACCAATTGGCACCGACTGCAACTCTTATTGTATACTGTATCTTCGACACTGAGATTATTGCACATACGATCACCCTGAACATAGAGAAATGCTTCCGAAATGAGGTACAGATCCTTCTAAAAGAATTAATAGCCAATAATCTCACCTTTCTAGAATAGGATGCAAGAATGCCATGATGTGATTTATTTTTTATTTTTTTGTAAATATTTTTTTTCTTCAATGCAAGAGAGAACAGTGAGACTCGCAGGTCCCTTATTTAGCAGAGACCTAACATGTTAGGCTTGGCAGTCAAATATACATTTGGGCGCGCAGGCCCCCTTGATTTGAGGACTCGCAGGTCCCTTTGGTCATAGGTAGTGTGCATTGAGAGCATATGACTTAGTGATTTGTGTTGGTTCACATGCCGTCCAAGTGTGCAGACACGCCAGTCCTTTGTCGCTGAGCTGAATACTGAAATAGACTTATGACAGCTTGCTGGTTAAGTTGTGGCTCTTGTCATATGTGCCAACGACCTTGTGTCAAGCGTCAAGTGTGCCCGTGGTATCGGCAATTCATTTCTTGCTGTCAGCGCTGTTATGGCTCCACATATGTCTAGTGTTATATGTCAGGCAGTGTGTCAGTCATCATTAATCACACTAGCACCCTTTACCTATAATACGTATCTAGTAGTCATCTCTATTCCGTTGGGGTGAATGTGTCTGGGCTCCAGCGCTGCCCTTGTGGCCCACAGACTTGCTAAATACTCTGTGGTCAATATTGATACATATCCAGGCATAGATTGTATCATTTTATTATTTATGTATTGTTTGTTTTACATTATGAGGCACTAGACCGATACTATATCATTTCCAGCTTTACAAGTATTTCTTCCTACTTACACCATAGTAGGTAATCATACTGGAATTCATTTAGCTGATACAGCTCCATCAATTAACGATTTTTATCTATTTAGTATTCATTTTAGTTTAATTTATTTATTTTACTATCTAGGGCAGGGGTAGGCAACCTTCGGCACTCCAAATGTTTTGCACTACATCCCCCAGAATGTTCTTACACCCATAATGCTGGCAAGGCATCATGGGAAGTTAAGTCCAAAACATCTGGAGTGCCGAAGGTTGCCTATGCCTGATCTAGGGTATACTCATTTGGATCAAAGCTTGTGCATTAAGCATCTAGTTCTTCAAATTCTTTGTATAACACTGCTTAGAAGATCTCAATTAACCGAAGACTTTGTATAATTTTAGAAAAAAAATGTATAAGCCTATTGTTCAATTCTATTCCCTCATCCCTATTTTTCTATTTCCACTTCATTCCTGATCCAACTATTGATTTTCTTCAGTAGCAACTTCAATTTAGATTGCTAAGTATGTTTGTTGTTGCAGACCCGCTGCATTCATAGTGAGTTCCTCCACCGCCCACATAGTTACATCCGCCAATATTGGTGGACTGTATGGCTATGTTGAAGATTCTAATTGATGGATTTTTTTATACTTGGATGTGGGAGTCTTTTTATGGTGTAGCAACATTGCCGCTGGGTCCAGTGGGAGGTGGGTCATCAGAGAACCGGGTCAGTATGTCGTGAATCCCCTTCCAGTAGTGTCAGATGTGCTTGCACTCCCACCATATGTGTAGCAGTGTGCCTATCTCCTTTTTGCACCTTTATAGAGGTGTGACCAATCCGGGTGTATGTCGTGTATTGTCAGGCGTGCGGTACCAATGAGTGAGTAGTTTGTATACCGTCTCCTGACTTTTACCGAAGACCGAACAGTGATGTGTGAGGTAGCAGATTTTCTCCCAGTCTGCTGCACTGAATGTATGGGAGAGAGACTCCTCCCATTTCCCAATGAACCTAGGTGTTGCTGTTGGTGTTTGTGATAGTAACATGGAGTACAACAGAGATATACCGTGTGGCAGTGGGTCAGGGTGTACGCATATTTGTTCAAATGGAGTGAGCTCACGGTTCAGGGCTTGGCTCTTAACCCCTGTTTGGAGCAGACATATCTCAGTCTGGGTAGTGGGTCCCTGACTAGAGTCCTGAATGTCTTGGGGTCCAACCCCGATGGGAAGTCTGCGTTATGAGTAATGGGTATGTTGTTAGGGAGTGCCTCCTCATGCTTCTACACCATACCTGTAGTGTAGCCTTCATGTATGTGGAGTAGCCCTGTTCCCCTTCTCCCTTCCACACAGGGAGCCATGGGAGGAGAGCGGCAGGTTTGTCCACCTCTGTCTCCTCTGCCTGCTTCCAATGTTTGTTAACATTCAGCTTTGACCACTCCACTATCCGTAGTAGGTGATACACTTTGTAATATAGCGAGAAGTCCGGCAATGCCAGTTCTCCCTTGTCCTGTGGCTGCATGAGTAGAGCGCATTTTATTCTGGGCCTCTTACCATCCCCTACATATACATAAGGCCATATGGAGGGAGGTAAAGAAGGAAGTTTGTATCATTATGAATATGGCCTGAAATAGTTAGAGCTGCCTTGGAAGGACTGCCTGTGTTCTGCCAAGTTGGATATATGTGGGAACGACCATTCCCTCATTTCCTTCTGGAATGTAGTCCACATCGGGGCAAAGTTTGCTGCTGTGGGGATATTTATGGGATGATAATATTGTACAGTTGAGAATTGCCCACTATTTCAATTCTCTTAGATCTTAGAGATCGTTATCATGTAAGTGAAATGTATTCCATATAAATAACATCACAATTTGTTATAAAAATAGATATAATTTATTGTAACAAATAAAATAAGAATATTAGGCAGCATGCATGATATTAATCAGTGAATATTTAGTATAACATAAGTATACAATACAATGGCAATGGCTAAACACATTACAAAGCTACAGCATCAACTTCACACACAGAAAGTAAAACTTCACACAGCGAAAAGCCATAAAACCTTGGCTAACAGTTAGATCAACTGAGTAACTCAGTGCTGGCTAGATCCTCCTAGGCATATAGTATCCTATGCTCATGTAATTTTCAATTAAAATAACATTCGAACCAACTCATTAATCATTTCCTGGAACCATCCAATAAGAATAATCTAGCAGATTCTATACACCGAATTTTAATTTGCCTAAAAAGATATTACCTTATTTTAGAGCAAATCAATACACCTGGATAAAAACAGCGGTATGCTAACACGGGATAATATTACATTAATATATAATTATTCTTAATTCCACATGCAGAATGGAATGTTTATAACTATATATTCTTTAGTTAACTAAGATTTCTAAATATTGAAATCTGACTGTGATTTATCCAGTCACATATCATGCTATTAGTAAATTTTTAATTAATTTAAATTAATTAAATAAAACCAGCATAATTACCAGTTATGTAGGTATTCTCATCAGATGAGTAAGAAGTCCCAGAAATATGATTGGTTGTATGGAGGTGCGTGAGTAATAGAGAAAAGTGATGTTGGTTAGAAAGTCAGAGTAAAATTGTGTCAAGGAGTTGTGTCCAAGAGAGTTTAAGAGTTGAGTGTTAGTCCCAGAGAGTGTCCTGAATCTCTCTCTCTGCATGTCCAAATCTGAATGCCCAAACTACCAACTAACCTCTCTCTTCCCTTTGTCCTAACTTTTAAAGGGCCAGACTCTCTGTTAGTCGTTAGTTGATAAGGCCAATAGGAAACTGAAGATGTGTTCAATCTATGGATCGCAATTTAGGCATTTGATCCATAGAGGGCAGTCTCGCCTTACTAAACCTTCCTATCCAGGAAAGAGTTAACTTTTCCTGATGATTTTGACGTAATTTGGCTTATCTAAAATGACTACCATAACTTAAATTTGCTGTCAGTTCAAAGCGTTTGTCTCAGTCTTTGTGGCAACAACTTTGATCGTAATTTCTAAAACTGACAGTTCTAAACTCAATTTCACCCCTTACTTACAATGGGACCTTGTAAAATTTAGAAAGTAAAATTAATTACTTAGTCTTCTCTGTCACTAGTGTCTGTGTTTATATAATGCATTCCTTAGCTCAGGCTCAGTGGTTAGTGAAAGCAAGGAAATTATGTGTCTTTGTTATCCTGAAGATAGCAAAATGGAGTCCGCTCTCTTCTGAGTGACTCTGGCAATATACACTTTTAATTTCTATTTTAGCACAAAATGTCTGCCGATATAAATATCCTGACACTGCATATAGCTCAGCTCCCCTTTTTGTCAGCCACGTTCCCAGGTATCTTATTTTGTGCTCGGCCCACTAGAATGCATGACTCTGGCAGAGCCAGGCGGCTTACTGTGGGGGTACACTGACGTTTAAGATGTTTGATTTGGTGAAGTTGATTTTTAGGCCTGACACGTCCCCAAATGCCCCAAAAGCTTGCACAATATTCGGGAGAGACACCTCTGGCATAAGCGGCGACCTTGTGGTGTGTATTTTCTGTGACTATCCCTATGTCTGGTTGTTGTCTAATAGTTGTCAAAAAGGGTTCGAGGGCGAGGACAAAGAGCATCCCTGCCAGGTGCCATTGGAGATGGTGAATTCTGTCGTCAGGGCCCTATTGACCACCACATGTGTGGTCCAAGTGTGGTCCAAGCCCCAGATGGGTCAATATATTCCCAGCAAATCCTGTCAAAGGACTTCTCTGCGTCTGTAGATAGCAGGAGAAGGAAGGCCTCTGCTTCTCCCTGTCCTCCCATGCATTAGTGTGAGAGCTTGGATGGTGTTGTCCCTGGCCTCATGCCCCATCACAAATCCCACCTGGTCAGGATTTACCAGGGAGGGTATATGCGATTGGAGCCTGACGGACAGAATTTTGGCCAGCAGTTTAAGATCACAGTTGATGAGAGATATGGGCCTGTAGTTCCCACAGTGCTCCCGGTCCTTGCTCTCTTTCGGCAGTATAGTAATATGAGCTGTCAGTGACTGCCTGGGGAGGCTATGTCACTCTCTGATGGAGTTATACATGGCCAGTAGAGGGGGATAGAGAATGTCTGCATAGTATTTGTAGTATCAGATGGTTAGGCCATCTGGGCACGGGCTTTTTCTGGGTTTCGTGTTCTTTATTGCTATTGCCAGCTTCTCTGGGGTGATTAGTTCCTCCAGCTGCTCTGACTTTTCCCTATCTAGAGATGATAATCTATGTGCCGCCAGGTACTGATCAATAGAGTCTTTGCTTGTGCTCTTGTGTGTGGTTGGGGGAGAGACTAGAGGTCTGAGTAGTAGGTGCGGATAATGTCCTGAATCTTAGTCGGGTGTCTGTGCAGGGTGCTTGTTCTATCCCTGATGCGGTCAATATATGTGGCCTGTCTCCATTTAGTTAGCATCCGGGCTAACAGCTTAACGCTTTTGTTCCCATGTAGGGAGAAGAACCCCCTATGTCTCAGTGCATCCATGTGGTGTTTGGTGTGTAAGAGTGCCGTCAATTCCCTCCTCAGTTGGAGGAGCATAGTCATAGTGTGTTGGGAGTTGTGAGAGCTTGTTAAGGTCATCCAACTGTTGTATTTCTGTAATCAGTGCAGTCATGTGTGCTTCCCTTTGATTCTTTAATGCCATGCCTTATTTGTATAGTGTCCCCGTATGACATTTTTGTGTGCCTCCCATAGTATGGTGGGTAAAGTCTGAATGTTATTTGTAAATTATTCCCTCAGTGCCTTCCCAATATCTGCTGTGGTGTCCTGTACTGAAAGCAATGAGTCATTGTCTCCATTTGGGCACCTTGGGTCTGAAGAGAGGGGATTTAAGTGTGATCGTCACTGGTGCGTGGTCTGACCAGGACGCCGTGCCATGCTCGGCTTGAAGCACCAGTGACAGGTGGTAATGTGACATGAAAAGGTAATCTATCCGCATATACGAGTTGTGTGGGTGTGAGAAGAAGGTATAATCCTTTGCGTCTGGGTGGAATGCCCTCCAGCAATCAACAATTTTGGACTTTGACAGGAGGGTTTTAATCGTGGCAATGTGTTGTGTTGAGACACGTGACAGCCCTGATGATGAGTCCCACCTAGGGTCCAGAGTTATATTAAGGTCTCCCTCAATGATCAGCACCCCCTCAGCAAACTGTGCAGAGCACGCGGGAAAGAAATCTATACTGCCTCTGATTAGGAGCATATATTGGCGAAAGTGTAGACCATGTCCGCTATGGCTCCATTGAGAACAGGACCCATTGAAGAACAGGACCCATTTGTGTATGAGAATAGCGGTACCCCTAGATTTACCTCCATGGTAGTCGCTATAGTAACCTATGGGATAATGGTGGTTCATCAGTGTGGGTCTTGCACTGCCCTTGAAATGAATTTCCTGCAGAAACACAATTGAGACCCTACTGTCCTGAAAGTCCCTTAGGGCACCCAACCTTTTCTCTGGCTTGTTTAGTCCTCTCGCATCAGGCAAGAGAATTTTGAGAGGGGTTGGTGTCAGTGACATAGTGAGCGGTGTGAGGTCCTAGCGTTCGTGTGGGGTTCGTGTCTGTCCAAGTGGTAGGAGCAGCTATGGGTGGGGGGAGTGAGAGCTTTTTGGATATATTGAGCACTCAGAGCCAAGCTATCTAGGGATATGTCGAACACGGGGGTTGAATTATTTATAATATGAGTTATGACTTTTTATGTGTTTTTGTTACAGGCTTTACTGTATTTTCTGTACCTGGAGATAATGAATTTACTTTGTTGTGATTGGTTCATGTTACCTGTGTTTCAGTGCCCACCAGGTCTAGTGGGTGTTCCCTGGCCTGGAAAACGTGGATAAATCTGATGCCTGTGCACATTAAAACCAGTCTTCTTACCCTCAACTCGCAGCCTCGACTCATGTTGTAGGCAAATGCTAATCACCAGCTCTGCTCAGAGCTACAAGAACCTTCTACAGTTCCAGGGATATCGGTAGTTGCTGAATTGGGACTCTTTGCCGCTCTCTCAGCTTGGGAAAAAGGACATCCTGGCGGTGCAACCCTCGGGCAACCGTAACAGTCAGTCCACCGTGATCCCACGGAACACTGCGCAGTCAGAACCTCCACACTCCGCGACTTGTGGCTTATTCCGTCCGTGCTCTAGCTTAGTGTGCAACCTCGTCTGCCAAATGCATGGCCTCCAGGTCCAAAAGAGTGCAAGATGGATAACCAAAAACTGTGTGTAAACATGAATGTGCTGCCTTCAATTGGAGCTATGAAATATAGTTTAGTGTAAAGCTTGTGTCCAGCCTCGCCCGTCCCGAATAAGTCTAGTGTGGGAATGGTCCTTTGCCCCATAGTTATCATGTGTGTGGGAGGTCGTCCCATCTCCCAGTCTCTGCCGTTCCATTCTGTGCTGTCCCGTGCCACCTCCCACATGTGTCCCCCTGGGTGTATGTAAACCGTGAGAGCGTGTCTGCCCACGTCCGGACCCGTGTGTGCCCCAGGAAAGAGGTTGAGCAATATGGCGGGGAGGCCATCCAGGACAGTCAGTTGTAAGCTGAGGTAGGGTAGGGTAGAGAATGTCTGTGAAATCTAATTAGGTGGAACACAAGGGAGGGAGTCCCTGTCTCCCTTTCTCTCCTGTCCGACACCCGCACCTCCCCCCCGGTCCCCGTGGTTCTGGACCCCACATACCCATCCCCGCTCTGAGCCATCCCTAAAAGGTGAGTGTCGACGTGATGTGTCTCAACCATTCGGATAGCGTATGTGCATGCATAAACAGTAAACTTAACGTATAGCAACCGTGTGCCCAGGCTGTCCTTGCCCCGAGACCCCACATAATGCATACATTCCTAAGCCCCTCATTTAGCCCTCCCTTGCCAGGTGGGTAAAGTCTTGAGCCTAACGTGAGTAAATGTAAGCTAATTCTGAGAGTCTCATGTAGGGGGATACTTGCTGTTCGGGTGGGTGGTGAGACGCCCTGTTTGCATCAGTCGGAGCAAATCGTCTGCTTCCAGAAGCCTCAGTTCGGCTTATGAGTAATATGCGCCGCTCGGTAGGTGCCTGTGTGACTAGATCATCTCCTCCAGGGTTGGCCAGTGTCCTAGAGTCCCTTGACCAGTGGCATCTGTAAGCTGTGGTAGTCCCTCTGAGAAGGGCATAGTTATATGGTGGGGGTCAGATTCCCACTCCCAGAGTTGGGGAGGCTGGTTAGTAGTTAACTTGCATGCAGGAGTTCCACAGCCCTGGGGGGTTTGGGGCCTCTGCTTGCGGTCTGGGGCTGAAGGTATAGAATGCAAGGTGATTCGGCCACGATAGCTGTTCTGACAGGTGCAGGTCCCTTGTGAGTGTCGCTAACTCATCTTGCCGCTGGGGAGTCCCTGTACCACATATTGCCGTTGGGGGGTGAGACCGACTATCTCCACTCCCAGTGATGTCTGCTACTGCTGCTGGGGTGTGACACCATCTGTCTCCTCTCCCTGTAACACTGCCTGCCACTGGGGAGTGAGACTGACAGTCTCCCCTTCCTGAAACCCATTCTGCCACTGGGGAGTGAGACCAACTATCTCCACTCCCAGTGATGCCTGCTGCCGCTGGGAAGTGAGACGAGCTGTCTCTACCTCCTCTGGGAGGTCTATTAAATCTCCAGCCTCCACGGCCCGCTGCTGCACAGTTGCCTGTATTCCTTTTCAAGCCCAAACTCCATAACGACCAGGTAGAACAAATCGTGTTCTAGGTTTGTCACTTCACTGAGATCCAGGACGTCTTGCCTAAGTGCCTGGATGTCCCAGAGTCAGAGTATCTCAGTACTTCAAAACTCAGTCTCCTCCTCAAAGGCCACCTACAATAGGCCGGGGCCATTATAGTCCTCACCCTTTGGCAGGTCATTATCAGCTAGCCAAGGGTACTGTTGGACCCCATACCACCATAAAGCCCGGTAGTCATCATCTACTGCCATTTCTCTCCAGTTGAACCACCCATTCCTTGGGATGTTCACCCAAAAAAGTTATCCATAGATCCAAATGATTCCGATGTCGCTGTTCTGGGGTTGGGAGGAATTTTCCCCAGAGAACCTGATTCTCCTCCACGAACTCTTCTCAGAGCTGTCCTCAGACCTGGTCTCTAATATCCAGTTCAACCATTCCCGGGACAGTGCCATCATACTGGGTCAATGCGTCCTGCAGTCTCCATTGGAACTCCTTATATGGGGACGCTGTCCGGAGGCTAGCTTGCTCCATACTCCCGAGTTCATCTGCAGACAGGGACGCTGCACAGATACTAGCACTACAGAAACATAGAAACATAGAATGTGACGGCAGATAAGAACCATTCGGCCCATCTAGTCTGCCCAATTTTCTAAATACTTTCATTAGTCCCTAGCCTTATCTTATAGTTAGGATAACCTTATGTCTATCCCACGCATGCTTAAACTCCTTTACTGTGTTAACCTCTACCACTTCAGCTGGAAGGCTATTCCATGCCATCACTACCCTCTCAGTAAAGTAATACTTCCTGATATTTTTAAACCTTTGTCCCTCTAATTTAAGACTATGTCCTCTTGTTGTGGTAGTTTTTCTTCTTTTAAACATAGTCTCCTCCTTTACTGTGTTGATTCCCTTTATATATTTAAATGTTTCTATCATATCCCCCTATTTCGTCTTTCCTCCAAGCTATACATGTTAAGATCCTTTAACCTTTCCTGGTAAGTTTTATCCTGCAATCCATGAACCAGTTTAGTAGCCCTTCTCTGAACCCTCTCTAAGGTATCAATATCCTACTGTGTACAATACTCCAAGTGAGGTCTCACCAGTGTTCTGTACAATGGCATGAGCACTTCCCTCTTATTACTGCTAATACCTCTCCCTATACAACCAAGCATCCTGCTAGCATTTCCTGCTGCTCTATTACATTGTCTGCCTACCTTTAAGTCATCAGAAATAATCACCCCTAAATCCCTTTCATCATATGTTGAGGTTAGGACTCTATCAAATATTCTGTACTCTGCCCTTGGGTTTTTACGTCCAAGATGCATTATCTTGCACTTATCCACATTAAATGTCAGTTGCCACAATTCTGACCATTTTTCTAGTTTACCTAAATCATTTGCCATTTGGCTTATCCCTCCTGGAACATCAACCCTGTTACATATCTTAGTATCATCAGCAAAAAGACATACCTTACCATCAAGACCTTCTGCAATATCACTAATAAAAATATTAAAGAGAATGGGTCCAAGTACAGATCCCTGAGGTACCCCACTGGTGACAAGTCCAAGCTTCGAATATATATTCCATTAACTACAACCCTCTGTTGCCTGTCACTCAGCCACTGCCTTACCCATTCAACAATATTGGAATCCAAACTTAAAGATTGCAGTTTATTGATAAGCCTTCTATGTGCAACAGTGTCAAAAGCCTTACTGAAATCTAGGTAAGCAATGTCTACTACACCACCCTGATCTATAATTTTAGTTACCCAATCAAAAAAATCAATAAGATTAGTTTGGCATGATCTCCCTGAAGTAAACCCATGTTGTCTCTGATCTTGAAATCCATGTGTTTTTAGATGTTCATCAATCCTATCCTTTAACATGGTTTCCATCACTTTCCCCACTACTGAAGTAAGGCTTACTGGCCTATAGTTGCCCGACTCCTCCCTATTACCTTTCTTGTAAATGGGCACAACATTCGCTAACTTCCAATCTTCTGGGACTACTCCTGTTAACAATGATTGGTTAAATAAATCTGTCAATGGTTTTGCTAGTACACCACTATAAAATTATGGTTATGCGCCAAACTGCAAATAGTCATCATACAAAAACTATTTCAATTAAACAACTTACTTGTTTACCTGCTAAACAGAGCGCTTGCAGGACAAAATGGAAGGAATGTAAACAGTGATGTCAAAATGCCACTCTGCTGTGCTAACATGTAGCAGAAGAACAAGATTCCCCCCCTACACATCCTGTTTAATTATTGGATTCCATATTGGCTGCTGTTCTCTGATCTGCAGTTACTTGTCAGTTATAGAATGGTGCAATTGAATTACGGATATGTGAATGATGTAGCTAACATCAGCCAATGACATAGCAACAGGAAGTGTAACATTAGCCAAGCGCATCAAACGAGCTTAAAGGGACACCCCAGACCACTAAAAAAAAAAAAAGAAAATGCAGATTTCAGATCTGATTCCTGGCTGTCAATCAGATAACTGGTCCTGT